TTCAGCCAGTTCTTTATCTAGTGAAGAGTACCCCCATCCAAACCATGAGCAGCTACTTTCTCCAGGAGGATACTGTGGGGAACAGTGTCAAAGGCCTTACTAAAGTCCAGGCCGACAACATCCACAGCCTTTCCCTCGTCCGCTAGGCAGGTCAGCTGGTCACAGAAGGAGATCAGGTTGGTCAAGCAGGACCTGCCTTTCCTGAACCCATGCTGGCTGGGCCTGATCCCCTGGTTTTCCTTCACTTGCCCAGTGAGTGCACTCAGGACGAATCACTCCATACCCTTCCCTGGCACTAAGGCCAAGCTGACAGGCCTGTAGTTCCCAGGATCCTCTTTCCGGCCCATCTTGTAGATAGGTGTTACACTGGTGATCCTCCAGTCGTCTGGGACCTCCCCTGTTAGCCAGGACTGCTGATAGATGGTGGACAGTGTCTTGGCCAGCTGCTCTGCCAGCTCCCTCAGCACTCATGAGTAGATCCCATCTGGCCCCATAAACTTTCGAGTGTCCAGGTGGAGTAGCAGGTCGTTAACTGCTTCCTCTTGGATTATGGGAGGTTTATTCTGCTCTCCATCCCTGTCTTCCAGCACTGTTGGGTGACTACCCCGGGGATAACCAGTCTGACTATTAAAGACTGAGGCGAAGAAGGCATTAAGTACCTCAGCCTTTTCCTCATCCTTGTTGGCAATATCACCCCTTGCATCCAATAAGGTATGGAGACTCTCCTTCACGCTTTTTTAGTTGTTTATGTATTTGTAAAAACATTTTTTGTTGTCCCTTGCAACAGTGGCCAGCCTGAGTTCTAGCTGGACTTTTGCCTTTCAAATACTCTCTGCATGACCTAACAAGACCCTTGTACTCCTCTTGAGTCATCTGCCCTTTCTTCCATAAGTGGTAGACCCTCCTTTTTTTCCCCAAGTCCCAGCAAGTGCTCCCTATTCAGCCATGCCGGTCGTTTTTCCTGCCGGTTCGTCTTGTGGCACATGGGGATAGCCTGCTCCTGTGCCTTTAAGACTTCCTCCTTGAAGAATTTCCAGACTTCCTGGGCCCCTTTGCCCTTCAGGACTCGATCTCCCAGGGGACCCTCTCAACCAGTGTCCTGAACAGGCCAAAGGCTGCCTTCCGAAAGAGTTACGTAAGTTAAACATTTTGTACTGAAAAGTACTTCATTTGGTTCAGTTTGTATATCCTGCCACAGCTGCTTTATTAGCTTTCTGCAAACCATCCATAATCTTAAGTACACGTCATGTCCCTTAACAATCTATTAATTACAGAAAATTATTTTTTTAAGTATCTATTTCCACAAAGAAACTGTTACTTCCTTCTGATCATTCTTATTTCTCTTGGTTTTTCCCCCCTATTCCTATTATCTTGCTTGCTGGAGAACTGCATACAACATTCAAGCTGGGTACACCACAGCTCTTTAGAAAAGTATGCTGAGGTTTCACATTTTGATGTCTATTTCTCCCTAAATAATTTTTATTTTCAAATGATGCTTAGTACTGGATTGACTTTTCATTGAAACCTCCACAAAGATCACTATCCTCTGACATGGGGACATCCATACATCCTCTTTGTGGGTGGTTCCCTGGTGTGAATAAGGAAAGGCTATGGCATGAGCTCACTGTCTCACATTGACAGAATATCCCTTTTCTATCTCTCTGCTAATTATCAAGAAAATTAAGTGAACTGTACATTCTTTCTTCCAGCCGTATGGCTTGCTGTCTTAAACAACGGCCAGTGATTTCAGATATTGAACTGGGTCAGATAGACAGGCTTGGGCATTATTGCATTAGTCTTTTTTTCCTTTAAAAGCAAGGAAAAAATTAAGTTGGTCAGGTAGCATAGCCAAAGTCCTGGTTAAACAATAAAACCAAACACCAAATACAGTAACACTAGCAGGAGTCTCTTGTTCTACAGTAATGAAAAATACGGAAGCCGAGAACATGAAGGAGAAAAAGAATAAGTCATTTAGTTTTGGATGTATTGTTAAAAATCATGAAAACGTGGCAGTAAGAATGGCAGATACATATAATTGAACAGAGGGAAAGCAGAAACACACAGGTAGTACTACGAAAGCAAGAAGCAGAATGCGAGCCTTGAGATCAACCACATGTACAAGATTAGAAAAACAACAGGGTGTTGAAAAACATTGACAGCGAGAGACAAAACACAGCAGAGAGGTTTAAGAGGTGAAAAGACAGACTGCAGAAATAAGAAGATTGTGACCACTGAGATAAAGCATTACAAGATATCAAAGAAGCTGGAGTGCAAATTTTAAGCTCTGAAAGTTCATAAAAAACAGGTCTTGATAATTTGATGAAATCAAATTCAATTAAGTATATCTGGCAAATGCCAGACTACATGAGTCAAGAGGCACTGAAAGGCAACGGAGTCAGTATTCATGTGCAACCTGTTCAAAAGTTTTACCTGCCTTGGTGACACAGACTGAATGGAATTTGGATTGGCAGAAAGAAAATAAAAAAAGAGAGAGCAAGGAAAATAATCATTATGCTACTTTGACAGCATATCCTAGATACAACGATAAGTACAGGAAGAAGTATAGTACAGTGAAGACTTTATCCTTCCCCTGACCATGCCGCATCCAAAAGCATTTGTCATGATATAAGAGCAAGAATAATTACTTAAATTCCGTATTTGTTTTGAAGCTGAGTTGCCTCGCAAAGCCACCAAAGCAACATTCTTTGCAGTATTACTTTTATTTGCAATGATTTTACAGTGAAAAGTAAGTTGCAGCATTTTATATAATTCTAACTACCTGGAGACAAACAGCCGGTAAACTTTGGTTTAAATTTCTTAGCTGAAACCTGTAATCCTGTGCAAACCTCTGACCAACTTCTTAAGCAACATCTTCCTCCAAGAATTGTAGGATTATTGTACTTTAACCAAAAAAATCAGAGAAAATATTTACATTTCCAAAAGTTAGCACATAGATCACATTCTTTATAATTGCATATGCATACAAAAACATTACCTTAAAATATGTACATAACCAATTTGTATACTCATTTGCCCTATTCATACATAATTGGAAAACACATCTGAAAGTTTTACATAAAATATCCTGATTCTTAACTGACTAGGGTATCACATGAAAACCACTCACAGAGCATACTTTCTATTCTTACCTGTTCATTAGCCAGAATGACAGTGCAGTAACGTTTTTCCAGGCTAAAGGGAAGGAAGTGCATATCTAAGCCTGCAGAACTTCTCCCTTCCAAGAACAGTTTTTCCACTGGACTGAAGAACTCATGCAGGAAGTCAGCTGTTAAAATAAGTTTAAGTTGATGTTCAGATACAACAGCATGGGTTGTAAAATAATGTAGCTGCCTGAGTTTAAACAAAAGGATACTGCATACAGCCTCCCGTAGTAATCAGTATTTATAAGGCACACTTGTGTAACTGTGCTGCCGTATTGCACGCTGAATGGATCCGACTACTTTCTCACTGTGTTTTTTTTATCTGCTAAGCATATTTTGATACTGCAGATTACTTTAGAACTAGACTTTCACTCAAGCTTCACTGACTAGCTTTCCAGGAAGTTCAGCAGACTTAAGAATAGAAGTGAAAGTGAAGGCAACAGAAATGAGTGAAGATCATGTAAGAAACCTATGCCAAACTCTGGCCAATTAAATAGAACTGGTTTATCTATCAAACCCACTAAGAATCAAGCTGAAGAAAGGCATAGCCACCACTCATCTTTTCTTGCCACAGTCCAAGTTTTTTTCCAAACAATAAAAATACGTATTTCCCAATATTCATGCTTTAACCAAAAGTTAAATTTGATACACATTTGAAGTTTCTAAACCCTACACAAATAATGATACAAAAAACCACAAAAAACGATACCAGAAAAACCCAACAGGACTGAAGTCCCATTTTCAGCCTTCGATCAAATAGGGTAAGGCAGCCCTAACAGCAACCAGTTTTTGACTAAATAAGGCACTAACTCCCTAACTTGTCTCCTGTTCAAGTGTTCCTCATTCCAAGTATGTCTAACTGCAGAGCAGACTGAATTATTCTTGTGACAGCCCTCCCTCCTCACTCTCCCGATTCCGTGAACTAAAAACAATCACCAAAGAATTCACATTTAATAATTTTTTTTTTTTTTTTACAGTTTTTTTCCTTTTCATTGTGGGTTCTCCAAGAGAACAAAATGTTCCTAATTCCTATTCTCTCCACTTAAGACTCTTGACCACTAATAGTATGTGTTCTCTCAGGTCAGAGGGTAAAACACATACGGAAGACTCCTACTTAGGTTTTGTTTGCCGTGTTATTGAGAGAACGAAGGGGAATTATTCTGAAAGAAGCAGTGCATTTCTACAAGAAATTAAAATATAATTTTGTTTCCAAAGACCTGAGATGCCATCAAAAATGTCTCTGTAGCTCCAATGTGATTGAAGCCATAAAAACCTTTGTAAGATATTCACAAATTGGTACAATAGTTGTACCCCACTTCATTACTTAAGGTACATACTTATTGTTTTTATGAACTGTGTATTAGTTGGTTGTTAATCTCATCTCAGAATACAATACAAGATAATCAGTATATCTTGAAGGGCTAGATTATTCAGATTACAAATCTGATTTCCTTATGCCCTCATGGAAGCAGAACAATATTTTCCAAGAGGACAAAATTAATTTCATTCCCGTTAATTTCATTTCCTACAAATTTTGCTCAAGCGGACTTTCAACAGTCTCAGAAAAGGCTGTAGCTCTAGATTCCTATGTTTTAACAGAACGGTTGACCGACATTTCATAGGAAATACGAGGAACAAATGCACAATCCCTGCTGATGAGTATTTTCAAAAATAAATTGGGTAAGCTGCAAAGGCTCCACATCAGATTCCCATGAAGCCAGTCCACAGGAACTTACAATAAGAAAAATAGACTTCTTTTTTTTTTAAATGGTAAAATCATTAGGACTACAATGTAGCCTTAGAAATCACTTCATTAAATCAAACATATCAGAAGATAAACTCTCCTATAAATAATAGCTACTGAGCATACCCATAAATAATAATTACTTAAGGTACTTTCAATGTCAAAATCTTGCTTATGTAGATAGTCTAATTTCTACTGTAGTGGCACAAGAAGTATTATACAGCGGTACTCACAGCAATTTAGTTTGTTCTCTTCATTTGGATCTTCAGGCAGTGCACCATTTGTAAAATTTAACATGTTATTTTCAGAACTAAAAGGAAAAATAAAAATGAAAGCAATAATCTAAAGCTGGACATTATTAAAAGACAGCTTCATTCAATTTTTTATGAATAAATACTGGTAAAGCAAATGTTTTCAGGAAAACAAAAACCCAAAAGCAAACCACATTTTGGAACCATCTACCTATCAATAATGTCAAATATCACCTCTTCCGCTTAAGTTAGTAGTCCAATTTACAACAGAGACAGAACATGCTCCCTTCAGTTAACCAGTGCAATATCTCTGCAGCACTCCTATAAGAAAAATTCCATGTTAAAAAAAAATACAGTTATATTTTGCCAGTCAAAAGTACTCCTGCCCAATAACACTTTTGGAGGAGTTCAGCCTCAGTTCTTCTCTTTATCATTTCAATATCCTATGGGAGTAGGCAAAGAATTGTTCCCTGGTACATCATGAAGTGGCAAGGCCTTGCATTCCTCTGATCTTCTCAGTTATTTTCCATTCAGTCTTTCCAATTTTCCCCCCAAAAACTACTCTATAGAAATACACCTAAACATCTGCAAACCAAACTCAGTTTAGACACATTGTGCTCACTTTAGGACTTGCATTCATAGACCTTGTGGACACGTCTTTAGGCTGTTGCTTCTTACAGAAACTGGTTTGCAAAAGTAACAGTCTTCCTTTGCCCCTTATCAGAACACACTTCAGAGACTAGATCTCCTCTTACCTAAATTTTTTTTAAGCCCAAATTTTTTTTTCTAGCCCTCTCCACCTTCTTTCTAGCTCAACAGTCTCCTCTTTTTAAAGACTAGAGAAGCATTCTGTTTTATTCATGTTAACTTCATTACCTTATCCAAGTACCATCCTGAGAGCTAACTGAATCTATTCCCTTTTATCTGCCTACCTAGGGGTCAAAGTACCTCAACGCAACATCAACTTTCAGAAACAATAAAAATAAGACATTTAAAGTTAGAATTTTTTTAAACATTAACTGTAATTCCAGGCTATATACTTGTATGTTCTAAAATACTAGATTTTTTGTGTGTGTGTGATGCACACTTATAGGCAAACATTTTACATCTATTAGCTTAATCAGAAAACATACCAGCAGGTCATATATGAATAAATGAAAACTATCTAGTAAATGAACATTCTAGTCTATGGCTTTGGCTCACTGCAAACCTTGGATATACCACTAGTCACTATTCCAAAGTTAGAATTCATGGTACAAACTCTACTCAATTTAAGCTCTGTTTCCGACACTATCAGGAAAGGAACTCTGTCCAGTGAAGGGGAAATTCAAATTTTAACTGCTCAGCAATGGTAACTCAGAACCAAGGAACAATCTAGCATGGAGGACAAGAAGGCCCAGCTGGCT